AATCGACTGATCGTGGCAGCAGACCCACTCTATGGCTTCTCTGCTGAGAAGAAAGAAGCATTCGAAACCATCATTTTGCAAGTTACATGGTGTGAAAATGAGAAATAATTTTTTAACATGTAGGGTTTCCTAGTGGTTGACTTGCCACCCACTTATAATGTCATTTCGAACGTCCCCTGCTCAACTCTTTCAAAGCCGTCGCCTTGACTTATCATGTAGTAGTGAAGTTTATGGGTGATGGGGATGTAATCACCATTTGAAAAAATCTGGTGTAGTTCTCCACCCGTTATCTCCGAGCTGTTAGAAGAATCGAACAGGAGCCACTCAAGATCGGAAATTTGCGCGAAGGAGGTCTGAAGACTAGTGTGAGATCACCAGTCAAATTCTTGCAATCGAAGTTGAGACGGGTAAATTTTTTCTAATAAGCAAAGCTTTTGATGCAGTCGAAAGATATGCTGATCTAAATCCTTCGAAACCACCGAAATGCTTTTGTCTGGTCTTCCACCAAGATTTTGGGAATACTAATCGATGTTAATTACCGTCACTTGAATGTCAATCCAGTGGCTCAATTAATGCAGCAGATGATGAGGTCCTCAACTAATACTCTAGTCGTACCAATCCGGGAGGAAGTTTAGAGGAGGCCAACTACATACGAGAGGTCCATTATTCAACATGGGTGTCCAACGTGGTCGCATTTACCAATTTAAACACCGTCTGTTCGAAGGATAGCTACCTTATGCCTAGGATTGATGCTCTCGTGGATGCAGCGGTTGACCATTCTGTAATGAGCTTCCTCGATGCGTTCTTTGTTACCACCATACAAAAATGCACTCGATCGACGCAAAAAAAATCATATTTATCACTAGCAAGGGTGTGTTTTGTTAGAATATAATGCCCTTTAGGCTGAAAAATGCTGGCACTATATACCAACGAATGATGAATGTAATATTTTTAAAGCAAAAAGGAAAAAACATTGACATTTATGTGAATGATGTGCTAGTTAAAAACAAGACGTCCAAAAAACTTATAAAATAATTAAAAGAAACCTTCGAATCATTTAAAGAATTTAACTTAAGGCTCAACCCACTGAAGTGCACCTTCAAGTGCACCTTCAGGGCATCCACATGCAAATTTTTTGGCTATCTTATGACTCCAGAGAGGATAAATGAGAATCCAGAAAAGGTGCAGGCATTGATTGACATGTCATCCCCTCAAAATATCAAGGAACCGCAAAAAAAGACAGGACCATTCGTAAGCCTAAGCTAATACATTTCAAAATCACACAAGTGTGCTATATTTTTCAAAGCTTTGAGAAGAGCGAAGATCATCGTTTGGTTAGATGAATGCTAACAAACATTCATAAAGTCAAAATATTCTTTAGCGTCGCGATCACTCTTGAGCTCAAAGTCGAATGAAGAATTATCTCTATATTTGGGGGTTGGATTTGAATCCATCGGCTCGGGTCCGAGAGGATTTAGGGAAGCAATTCTCAGTTTACTATGGGTTGTGTAGACACCAAACTTAGATATCATATTATGAAAAAACTAACATTTGTTTTTATTATTTCTGTTCTTAGACTTCACTCATATTTTCAAACGCATCCGGTCAGGATTATTGCCAACCATTCATACAAATCTGTCCTTACTCGCCTAGAGTACTCCGACCAGCTCCTCAAATGGGTAGAGGAAATCATCAAGTTCTATAGCTTTTACGTGCCATGGACCGTATTCAAAGTGCAAGCCTTAGCTAATTTCCTAGCAACTTTTTTCGAATAAAACAGGCCAGTTGAAGGAGAAGCGTCTAAACAAACCGGGGTGCAGCTTGGTCTCACTCTGACTAGTATGACCGGAGAACATCTATACCATTCAATCAAAATCAGATTCGAAGTCACCAACAATTAGGCTTAATATGAAGCTTTAATTGCCGAGCCACATTTAACTTATGAGAAGAGTGCTCCGTATTTCTATGTAAAATTCGACTCGTCGTTGGTGGTGAATCAAGTAAATGGGCAATTCGAGGTCAGAGACAATAGGATGGCTAAGTACCTTAGCAAAGCCAAAAAAGAGATAGAGAAGTTTGAAGGCTTCAAGGTCGAGCATATTGTCCAAGAGGACAACCAAATAGCATATCTCTTTCAAAGTGCATTGACTTGGGGAAGATTGGCTTAAAAGCTTGTCTGATTGACCATTGAAGAATTCGAAACAATGCAGTTGGACATCAAAGAGCCAAATAGTTTGTTCGATACCTTGAGATTAAGAAGATCGCAGAAGACGTTATCGACAACCCATTATCTTTTGATCAAGGGAAAGCTTATTTTGGAGATCAATCATTGCTATACCTAAAGTGTAGAAAGGAAAATAAGGCAAAAGATGTCCTCCAAGACGTACATTCAGTGGAGTATGAGCCACTGTGGAGGAATGAATCAAACGGCCCAACCTGATCCGCTGGCGCAACCACTTATCTCTTCTTAGCAACAATTTTCTTCTTTTTGTTACATCCAGGTGGTACTACTCCTTCAGTCTCCCAAAGGCGGCAAGAAACATTTTCTTGTTGGGGGTATCAAGGGTTCGACATGTTCTCCATGACAAAGCTTGGAAGACCATCAATTTAGATGAAAACAGATGCAAAATAAATATGGAATATTAAAGAGTCCCATCATTACGTATTTTTAAGAATCAAAGGTGTGGAAATCAGGAGAGTTTAATTATTGAACCATTGATTAAGAATAAATGTCATCTACTTTTTGTATTAATTTTTTTAATTCTTATCACAACATTGCTCTCAAGAAGTAAGAGAATCAAAAAATAAAATATATACATAAAAAATATGCAAGCATTTATCTTGAAGAGATCTAATAGTCCAGAAGGAAGAAAGTAAGATAGAGAGCTCACCGACAGAAGAACAGGAGACCAACTTATCCAATTTGATGCAGCCGTTTAAGACAAAGCAACCAAGACCAAAGCCAATTGAGTCACGAAGATGCCGAATGATCCTAATTTGAACCGCTTGATCATAAACAAGACAAAGAGGCATGCAAGCTAACCAGCATAAAGAAGCCAACTAAAGGGAAGCTTTAGCCCCTTAGCATTTTCAATCGTACTGGGGGTATCTAGAAGCTCCTCCATCTACTATCGGGGGCCCATCGAGCCTATCTTGCCAACCTGAAGCCAATCGATCTCAGCCGGCTGACAATGCCTATTAAGTCCAACATATCAAATTGTGTCTGCCAAGCCAAAGTCATACAAGCTCAGCCGAATGAGCCAGATAGCAACCGAGCGATAGACTCATATGTGTAAAATACATATAATATCTTGTACAACCCCCATTAAAAAAAGGGGCAAAAATGTAACATCACCATATTGCAATCTCTCGCCTATAAATAAGGTCATTTTATAAATAAGACAAAATGCATTACTATTAATTACAGTTCACTTATCTCTCTGTCTCTTTCTCTACTTTCTAACGCTCTATGGTTTGGGGTGTAATTCACAGACAAATCAAGATTAACCACATTATCGTTATTGCCATCGTCAGTATTACCCTAGCTTTATGCGTTCATATTTTATGTTCTTTTTTATTGAGTGTTGGCTAAGGGTTTAAATTTATTCTTTCCAATTATTTCGAACAACTATCCAAATAACCTCAGGCCTATCTCTATTCATTTCTAATTGTCTAGCAAGCACGTTTTATATTCTTTTATGTACATGTTCAAACCAAGATCAATTTTTTAGTCATTGTTATCTTATGCCCATTTCAACTAATATAATTTTTTTTTAAATTAATACTTTCTAGTTTTGCCACATATTCATCTTTATATTCTCCTTTAAACTACAATCAACTTAGATATCAATGATATTTTTATAGTCCACTCTTCAAACGTTACAACATTATTGACTTAATTATGATTTTATAAAATTTACCTTTATGCTTTTATCATCTCTATCTCGAGGAATTTCTCCATTTTAATAATCCAGCCTTAACTTTAGAACTTCCATTTTTATCTTTATCTTTGTTCTTCTAATAAGTAAATCAAAGTTACTTAAACCTATCATATTTAGGCATTATCTTTCAAAATGATTGAATGTCAATTGTTAATATTGTACCCACTAATGTCATATTTCGTATACTTAACCTTTGTTTTACTAATTCTAAGGGTTTTATTTCTAAATATTTTCTTCTTTATTTTAGTTTTTCATTTATTTAGTTAATGTCTTATCAACTAAAATTATTTCCTTTGCAAACAACACATGCCTAGCAACTTGCTTTAAATGTACTTTGTAAGCATCTCTATAATTAATGCAAAAGGATATGAACTTAGGGTTCGTTTGGGCCAGCTTGTGCGTTTCAGGATACCGCAGGCCTGCCGTTGGGGTCGACCCTCGGCCTGCGTTTAGTGTAAAAACCCAAACGCAGTTTCGGATAAGCTGACGAAACGCGCAAACCAAACAGTACGGCGGCGTTTTAAAAA